CTCAACAAACTGATAATATAACAAACACTACAAAACTTCAAAAGCTCAAGAAAATACAGGCCATGAGAATCCCTCAAAGAATGAAAAAATGTACAGCAGCTACAAGACGATGTGATCAATCCCCGTCTCACTATTTCCTGGTTATTGCTGTATGAACAAGAACACGAATCCTAGCATTAGGATGCTCGGAATGAACCGAGCTAAGTTTCTTCGGCTGTTGTTGGCAGGGAGTATTTTAGGAAGCAAGCATTCCTCCCCATTGAAGAACACCTTGGTGGGGAACCCATCTCCGGCAGCCATGTTAAGACCTTGTATGTTCTTCTTTGTGAATGAGATTACGGATTGCTGTTTTCCAGGTACGCGCGGATCCTTAGCTGGGTTCACTCCATCTGTTTCTCCGACAAGATAGTTTAGTCCGAGATGACCCTGCATAAAGATAGTACTGTTCGAACCATCCAATTCCAAGGTCGTTGCGTTGAGAGAGTACATTGCCTGGAAGCCAGGTGCTGCTTTCTTCATCTGAACTGCAGCAAACCAATCTGCAAAGTTCACTTCTCCCCAGTTGAAGAGAGTGATCCTCGCACTCCATCCGTCTCTATAATCGGTATACAAATGCCAGTTGATACTAACTCCGCAGTTATCCGAACAAGGCATCGGGTTTGGAACCGGGAAATGTTTAAGACCAGCCCAAGCAATAGCCATAGCAGTCCTATTCTCAAAAGGCACGAGAAGAGCTTCAGCTGGGAGTAGCATTACAGGGGAGGTAGCATTACATGTACGAGCAGAGTTAAGCGAGCATCCACAAGCACACGTTCTGCACGGGATGACAGATTCATTGTAGTACGACGAAAACGAAACACAGCACTTTGGGATGTCCTTCTTTACATGTGTAATATTGCAAACAATCTGCCAACTAACCACCGCAGTCGAATTCAACGGTAAACCACTCGAGTCAGGGAATTCGCTAGGACTTACTCTCACTGGCTGACCACATTTATATGCCGGGTTAAGAACGCCACTGATCTGCCAATTTTGAGGTGGTGTAATCTGAGATCTATTAAGATCTGGTGGCATTTTAAGCACTTGCATCTGAAATGCAGAAATCGACTTGCTCGGGTCCATATGCGATGGCAAGAGCGTCCCATTTCGACAGCAGAACGGGATCAACCCGAGAGTGGTGTCGTTAGCCTTAGTTGGAGGTAAATCAACAATGGTAGGCCTTCTTTTACAACTTAATACATTGAAAAAGTCTAAATCCCTATAGTAAGTGCCTTGTCTACCAAAAATGCATTCAGTAGAATCAACAACAGAAGGATAAGCACCTTTCATTGAATAGATAAACTCATCCCTCATCCAATCCCAGCTCAATTTCCAATAATCAAGACGACCAAGAGGATTGTGGTTAGAAATTGTGACTTGTGCCCAGTAACTTGAATCATATGTTCTTGTCACATCATACATGATCGTTAGATCGCCATTTTGACGAGCTAAGAACACTTCACTGGTTGTGATGTTTGTTTTAACGCGTGGATCGGGTGAGCAACAGACGTGCATTTCACTCTTTCCTGATATTTTGTGAAATGAAGTTCAAACTTGCAGGCGGAATCAAAGAAGAAGAAAGAAAGCTTCCAAAACCCCCAAGAAATGAAAACCCACCAATAGCTAATCGAACTCCCAATCATAAACAAACTCACTGTGAAACTAAGCAGATACCCAGATTGTAAAATTTAGCAACTACTCAGGAACTGATAAGAAACTACCAAAAATTGAATAAGCCACCAGAATCTAGCCTTGTATAAACAACATTGCTAAAGCATAATGAGCAGAAAGAAACCCAGATTTTGTATGATTATCCCCTTAATTGTGGGAGTCTCCTAATAATTCTCCCATTAAATAAAGTACACTATAGAGCCTTCCTTGAGTATTATGGAGCCCTCGAACAGCCCCTCCTTAGTTGAGGCCCGACTCCTTTCTCTGGAGCCCTCGAACAAATTATACCCTTGGTTCAAAACTTGAGTCATTTTGACTACACTTTCAAAGGTCCCAACTTTTTTGTTCGACGTTTGAAAATTCTATTGGCATGGCTAAGTTAAGGGCAAGGATTTAATACCATGTTAGAAATCACGACTCTTCACAATAATCTGATATTGTCTACTTTTAGCACAAGCTCTCATGGTTATACTTTAGTTTCCTAAAGGACTTCATATGAATGAAGATATATTTCTTACTTATAAACTCATGATCACAGCTAAAACGAGTAGAATCGGGATAGAAACAGCAGACATAAGGGATAAATCAGCAGAAACCAGAGAGGCAGGGGGGGAGTACCTTGTAGAATTGGCTTGGTGCAGAGATATCCATCATTGGCAAGAGATATATTGGAAGGCATCGGATTATTCGGAGGGGCAACCCCAAATTGGGTCCCAAGTAACTTGACTTGGACCTGCATCTGAGTGAAATCCCCAGCAGTTTCAATGGCCGTCTTCAAGTTACTCATCGGAAAACCAGCAAAGACGGTCCCATTACCAACGTTACCAGGGATAGAATTACCATCGGCGAGGACGGCGCCGGAGGCCGAAACCAAGAACTCATCGTGTTGAAACCCTACAAAAACCTTCCAAGACTTGAGCTCCTGAAGACCGTTGTTGAGAATCGAGAGAGTGGACTCGAATCGGTAAGGCTGGCGTGCCATAACAGTGAGATTTGGGGGAAGCTTGGCTCCTTGGTTGAAACTGTAGGACAAGAAGATGCCATTGCAAGAATCGGCGGCGGGAGGCGGAGCTTTCTCAGTTGGCTGAGAAATCGAAAAGGGTATGGTCGTAAAGATGATTAAGAAGATCAGATCGGCGACGGCGACGGCCATGATTTTGGGCTTCTGGGGTTCTGTGGATTTGAAAATAATGGCGGTTTCTGATCTGTTCAAAAGGAATTCGGCAAAAAGCACGAACTAGTGGGGAGACTGTCCGTTGAAAACAGTCTTTTTCTTATGTTCTTTTGGGTTATTTTTCAAAAAAATGAATCACCTTTCAATTCAACAATTTAAGAACCCTAAATTAGAGTCTACCTTTTGATTAGGATTTTGCGATTATTCCAAATATTATACCCTTTTCGTCGTTTCGCTCATTCCATTCAGCAAGTTGTTCTTTTAGAGGTACGACCTCCACATAGCATTGTTTACGAAATATTTAAAATAAAACTTTTAATACATATTAGACATGTCATGCATGCAGTGACAACCTTATTTTTAACAAAAAAAAAAAAATCGTTTAAAGGTCGGTCAAGAATATATACCCAGCCCACAACCAAACCAAAACTCGAACATAAACTTCCACCCATGAGTTTCAAAATATTAGGGTGTGGCCCTCTAACCGAGAAACCAAATAATTATTTTTGAACGTTAAAAACCGTTACAAATTTTAAAATTTAAAATCTAAATGGTTCCTTTTTAATTCAATGGTTGGTGCCAAATTGTCCCTTTAGGAGCGTAGTTGAGTTGGTGAGTTGGGACCTAACGTGTCTTTTTTTGTCATTTCACTATCAAATAATCCCTTTAACTTGTGTTGGACAAATTATAATAACAAAAGAAAAGACATTAATAACTGTTTGTTAATGACTTTATTTTCCTATTTTTAATGATTAGTTTTTTCTTTTCTTAAAATTTTATTTATTTAATCTTATTTTTAAAAAATATTTTTATAATTTTTGTCAAATTTCAAACCACGTGTATAACTATTAAAAATATATATCTTTATTTTTCGAAACTTAATTTAAATTTGTCTAACATAAAATAAGAAAAATAATTATATATATTAATTGTCGTTATTATTTATATTAATGAATAATTTAAACTACATTTACCTCAGTAAAAAAGTTTAATTATAATTAAAAATTAATAACGGTAATAACACAAAGAGAAGGAGTAAAGCTAAAGGTTCTTTTGTTACATAGCCTTTTTTTTTTTAATTTAAAATAATTTAGTGGCATAATCTAAATTATATATTTGAATGATTTTTAATTTGTATTTATTTATTTATTTATTTATTTGGGAAAAAGAAAAATATTTTAAAGTGAAAGCACTTAAAAAGTACTTTTATAAGTATTTTTAGAATTTTAAATTTATATTAAAGAAGCATTTGCTATATTTATGAAACAAACACAGGGACATTAATAATTACCCTTCCTATTTTCACTTAAATCCAATTCATTATTAAAAAAATTATTTAAATATTATTTTGTAAAATTCCATTTTAACATATTTATTTGGTTTCGTGTATTTTTAGATTTAATTTTCAAAATTCATGCATTAAAATCCTAAAAAGACCAAAATTAAATAAAAATCTTGACACGGAGGATTGAAGCCCACGTGGCAGTTGCGTCTTTGTTACGTCTAGTAGTGTGAAATAATAATAATAATAATTGGGCACCCAACCCGACACCGTCACTTTGTTTAATTCCACTCCATGTTTTACTATTTCCACTCCCATATATATATATATATATTTATTTATTTATTTTTACTTTCACACGCTTTCCCTTCGCTACATTATCCCACGTGTAAAACTCCCACCTCTTAAAATCATTTTTTAATTGATTAAAATATTATTTTACTAAAAATATTATTCATCTTGTTTAACATCCAAAGTTCAAATTACTAAAAAAAAAATGTTAAATTAATTATATTATTGAAGTTTGGAGTAAATTTATTATGTATAAAAATTAATCAATTTATTAATCTTTCATGTAATTATAAATACAATAATATAATTTAATAAAAAACAAAAATTTAAAATTGAATAAATAATAATAATATTTTAGTAATTTTATATAATAAAAAAAATTGAGAGCAAAAAGGATAGATTCCTTTCAGTTCAGCCTTCCATTCCACCTTAACTAAATACGGCTATTAAAACGTGTCGGCTTCGGTCCTTTTACTTTCACTTATTTTAAATTTAACCCCTCAATTTCATCTTAATTCATAATCAAGCCCATAAAAATAATAAAATAATCTCCACTGTTCCCAAAAACCACTTAGCTTCACTTAATTCACTTCTCTTCTTCAGTTTCCCTAAAAAATAAAAAACCAATTCCGATTCCGATTCCGATTCTCTCTCTCCTCCGACAATGGAAACTGCCATTTCTCTGAAATTTTTCATCTCTCTCACGGCGGTTCTCCTCAGTTTTACGGCAGGATTTTCGTCCCTTCCGACGGCCGACCGCCGCACTCTCGCCGGCGCTAAATACCAAATCGAATGCACAATGTGCTCTGCTTGTGACAATCCCTGCGGCCAGTATCTGTCTCCACCACCTCCTCCGCCGTCCCCTCCTCCATCCATCGACTGCCCACCACCACCTTCTCCCCCCAGCTCCGGTACCTACTATTACTCTCCTCCGCCACCTCCATCTCAACCCACCTACACATACTCCTCCCCGCCGCCGCCGCCTGGCAACTACGGACCGAGCGGGTACTACCAACCGCCTCCGTACAGTAACTACCCGGCCCCCCCACCGCCGAACCCGATTGTACCGTATTTCCCATTCTATTTTCACACTCCGCCACCGGGCTCCGCCGCTGCCGGCCGTTTGACGAACTCTTGGGCTTGCTCTGTTCTTACTGTTCCTCTGTTTTTCTTCTTACTTGCTTTGTTTTAAATGCAAATAGCAGAGCACAGAAACTTGCAATAATGGCGGATTTTGCAGATCTAGGAAATTGATGGAGCAAAAAACGGGAGAGATTGAAAAAAAGGGGTTTCGATCTTCAGGAATTTCCGGTAATGAAAGTTTTCTCATCCAAAAATCGCCCAGAATCTCCTCCTTTCTAACTCCATTGTTATTTGAATCGATTTGTAAATCTGCTCAAAATATATAAATCATATGTGTTTTTACTTGTATTCTTAATTCAATTCGTCCAAGGAACAACAAAAACAAAATTGTATGTATCAAATCTCTCGTTGTTTATGTTTGTGATTTCAATTAGTGTTGAACAACTGAATAATATATTCTTTTTCTCTGATGTTCTTCATTTGTTCATCAATGGCGGATCTGGGTCCATTTGTTTCTGTCTGTTAATGGTCGAAATTAACGAAAAGCAAAAGTTTAGTGGCTGGAATTCTCGTTTCTCACACTGATTTAGCTCCTTTTACAATATTATTATTCACAAATGTCGTGTTCTTTATATTTTAACAAACCCTTGAATCATGGTCCAACATGTTTTTGCTTGTTTCATTTTCTAGAACAAAAATTCAAACATGTTTGACTAGCTTGTAAATCGCTCATGTTCTTGTGTTTTGTTTTATTAATTTAGATTACTTGAACATTTATAAGATTAATCATTCAATTATGAAGTTTAGGGTAACCATTTAAACATCTGACCTCTCAATATATTATGTTCATGGCGTTACCTCGAGACGTTCCCAAGTGATTTGTTAGCTTACTCTAACTAATTCGTTTCGTTCATATATAGCTCTACGTGGCTTTAAACTTCTATCGAGAAGGTTATTTCGATACTTCTCCTTGGGATCTGTTTTCTTTTGATCGTATCTCATGACTCTCTCGTAGTCGTGTTTGTTTGTTTTTGTGTATATATATATATATATTTTGAAATATTTGATTAAAAAGAAAAGAACAAAATCAAACCGACGAGAATCTTGAAAGATCCATCTTTTGGGTAAAAAGCAAATCAACGGTCTCTCTTTTTCCAATTAATAATTACAGAATTCTTTGAAATTAAATTTTAGAAAAATTTTAAACTTTTTTAATGGCATTAATTAATGAAGTAAGTAAGTAAATAAATATTTATTTTATTATAATTCATAGTTGCATGTGCAAGTGCAACCATAAAGCCAAACGCCTTCTTTTTTGTATAAAAAAGGGTCCATTCTAAAAAAGTTGCACCTTTTTTTTTGTCGATTTGCGTTCCGATGACCAAACTTAATCTGAACCGTTGGATTAATTTTACCTTAATTCACTCATTAATTTTAATAAATGTTATTTAGTTTTTAAAATAGCTCCCGGATTTGTCTAAATTCTATAAAATTGCATATAAAATATATATTTTTATAATAATTAGGTTTTTTTTTTGTGGATAATTTCTTACACAAAAATCTATTCTAAAATTTAAAATAAACTAAATTAATTTTAAAAAATACTTCTAAAACTTTATACTTTATTCAAAAAAAAAATATTTTATATTTTAAATTTAAAAAATCATTAATATATTTTAACTTTTTAAAAACTTTTTAAAAAAATTTGAAAAATACCTTATTTTAAATAAACTTTCAAAACTAATATTAAAACATTTAAACTTTTTTTATAATAAAAAAATGAAGAATAATTTATTTGAGGTAGATAGACAATTTTGGTCCATATTAAAAGTTAAGGTATTAATGTTAATTTAAAAATTGTGGATATTTTTTAAACATAGTATTAACTCTCAGTATATTAGGATATTTTTTAAACATTTTTTAAATAAAATAATATATATTTCCGTCTCTATCTAAGATATTTTTTAGAATTTTTGGAAATTTATGAGTGATATTAAAATTTCTAAAAATCGAAAAAATAAATAAAGTTTAAAATATATTTTTTATTGTTTAAACATTAAAATAAAATAGGATGAAATTGTAAACAGAAGAAAAAACAGATTGGGAAGGGCATTTAATGTAATTGTAAATATGGAAGGGACAAGGACAAGGCGTGGGGACAGGATTAGCTGGATCGCACGCACTGTGATGTGTGGTGCACCTTTTTTTAAAATGGGTATCCAATGAGTTTTTTCTTTTCTTTTTTATTTAAAAAATCAATTTTCCAACAAATACAAAGGGTAGTTTCGGTATTTACACTACAAATCTCATGCAAACGTCAGCATCTCCGTCCAGTGTGACAGCTGGCAATGCCTCTGGAAAGCCCTTTCCACTACCATTTGTCCGTCTCACCTCCTCTATTAAATAAATAATTTGTGGGTTTTTTTTTTTTTTTTTTTTTTTTTTTTTTTTTTTTTTTTTTTTTTT